AGTCGCCCATGGCTAAATGGGAACATGATATTGTAATAATTATAGATAATATGATGTCGGTATATTAGTTGACATGACATCGTGAAGAGCATGTCATGATTGAAAGACACTGGTGTTTAGATGTGTTTATATGATATGTGCTGGTTTTTCATTGAAGTATCTAACGCCATGCTTCAAACAATTGAATATTGTTTTATCCGGTGGATGCACCGCACACTTCAAGGTCTATTTTGCTTGCTCAGTTCTTGGGCGCATTCCCAGGATCCTTGATGTAAGTTCCACCCGTGGTTTGGTTGAGTTCCCACCCCTGCTGGGGTGCCGACCGTGGTGTTTCACCCCAAACCGTTTCCACCAGGTGCCCGACTCCGAATTCAAATCCTGGCGCTTAGTGCGGTGTACCAAGAACGGCAGCAGCCGCGTGCACCTGAAGGACCGACGAGGGCGCAGCGCTGCGGAACGACGTGCGACTGGTGAGACCGTTCGGCGCACGAACGAGTTGGCCAGGACGAAGAGACTTGGGACGGCGATTTCGCGATTGGAGATCCGCGTCTTTGTTTGGAACATGTGAGGGGCCTAGTTGGAAGATGGGGGTAAATGGGGTGGCCCGATCCTTGGTCCTGAAGGGCCATTGATCAGGGATTGAAGATGGGATTGATCAGTGTTCCATCATGTTGTTTTGCACATATCGTCATTGGTCTTCGGTGTTAATGATCCAGGTTTTGGCACGAGTAGGCGAGTGCTACTGATCCAAATGACACAACTCCCCATTTCGCCGGAGATGCGAAGACGGCTTTCGCAGGATCAAATAGGGTGGTCCAAGGATTTCATACAGTTAGATGCCACGAAGCTCCGTGGGATCTCCTTGGAGCTCCGTGGGATCTCCTTGAAGCTCTGCGGGTGGAGGCGAAGGATGTGGATGTCATGGATGTATAGCGGAGAATGGTAGTTTGTTTAGAAAGAGAATGCAAGAGAGGTCATCAGATCAATAGATGTTGATCCAGTGAAGCCTGAGCACCCAGCTGTTGCTTGTTCTCCGTGGTGCCTAGCTCTACAACATGAACAACATGAACATCGCTTCGAGACAGCAATGTCTTGGTTCGAGCCCGACCACCGCTACCTTCACCTCTCGCCCGTCGGGAGTTCGCGGGAGCGACGATGGGAGTCGAAGCCGTCTGAAGTCGATTCAGGTGCACCCCAATCCATTGAATTCTTTGTCTCGACAGCGAGTGCCTCAGAGACAAGGTCGACCATGACAGGCATGGTGTTTTCTCGAGTCTGCGCCTGTCGGTGGCCTGTGCATCCAAAAGATACAGCCATGCGGACACCTCATATATGTTTGATCATCAGGGCCAGGGGGCATTCATTCATTTGCAATCAGCGCAGCCAACGCTAGTTGATCGACTGGAACTCTTTTGTTGATAGTTTCGGAGCTGGCCTCATGTCCGAAGAGAATTGTGCCTGCCTCAACTAATTTTTGTCAGAGTCGAGCTTGGCCGAGGTCTAGACACAACAAGCCCTTGACAATCAAGGCATGATCAGGAGACCTTATAGAAACATGTAGAGCGCCGATCGCGCCACTGGCTTTCCAGGGACTACAGAAGATGTTGATGCAAATAGTTTTGGCTTCTGACCCCTGTCTCAACTACATGATTCTAAAGTGACCTGACCATCCAAACTCTCGGTTGATCATGCACTTGCTTGGGAGAAACGTGGAACTCACTGGCTTTCGGAGTGCAAAACCACGAAACCAATCGAGTGGGCCGGTCGGCCCGCGGCTTGGTCGGGCGAAATCGTCCTGACGCCCCCGATGTTTTGGGTTGATAGAATTTTGACGGAGTATTCACAAGATCGCAGAGAGCCAAAAGCAACCATGGTGATGGACATCCAGAAGGGACTGGAGTGGTCAGATCTGTGCGATTTGCTGCATTAAACAGAGGATTTCATGATTCTAGGCGCACATGGCTTCATCACCGTGCATCACCCAAATATGTCTCCTGACCAAAAAGAGATATAGACTATACAATAGATCGATTGATATTATATTATATATTATATACCCTATAGATATATATTATAGATATTATATATAGTATATTATATATTGTATTATTATATATTATACCCTATAGATCGAATTGGACTTCAGCCGGGTATAGCTATAGGCCATGCTTTCCATGTTTTCGACACATGGAGTGTTGGACCGGTGGAACTGCGCAGCTGGTCCCTCCGTTCTCAGGAGAGATGCGGTCGGTCTGGGGACCTGGATCGGTGGGTGTGCTTGTTTCTCCGCGAGGACACCAAGCAAACAGGGTGGACACCAACAGGTGGATCGGTGGGCGTCCGATCGCTCCTAGTATGGCCAGCCCCTCGTAAGCTTCCGATCGCTCCTAGTATTTTGTCATACTTTCTTGGTTTAAAGAGGTCCTCTGTGCTCGAATAAGTGATCGTTTTGAGGATCCAGCATGATCCAGCCAATCACTGCACCAGTGACTATAGTGTGCGTTTGGCCCTCGTCCTTTTTCCGAGTTCAGAGTCGACGCCGAGAGATGTCCAGCCGATGCGTCCAGCCGTCTTCTCCGGGATTGGACCCGAGCCGAGGCTGGCAGCATGCTTCACAGGCGTTGTGTAGGGCTCTCAGGCTTTCAACATCTTTCAAGCCTTTGGTGTTGCTTTTTCCTATCCGCCATTATGCTATAGTCACATGGAAGCGAATGGAAGGACATCTTTGTTTGTGCTGTTCTGCAAGTGCCTTTATATTTCTGATTTTGTTCATAGAATACGACCAAGGGACGCTACGTGCGTTTGGAGCACATTCTTTAAGAGGAGAAACGAGTTGGTGGATCACTTCTACCAGCTCCACAGTGACAGAAGATGGTACTTGTGCTGCTTTGGATTTTGTGGCCCCGGACACTCACATCAGATGTCCGCTGTGAAGAGCAACTATTTCTTTCAGGGTCTCACTGTGCCCAAGTGTGAACATCCACTCGGTGCCTGGTAACCCAAAAAACCAGCAGCTGATGGGGGAACAGGCAATGTATGACCATCCCATGTCACTTAAGTCTTGAGTATAGTTTTAACACGTCTCTCTTCTCTCTTGGCTGATTATGCAAGCACCTTTTCGAGAACATGCTGACATATATGCTCATGATTTGGTGGCGCCAACATCACAATCCAGTGTCTCCATGGCGCTTTCCTAGCGCACCGCGCCTCGCAGCATGCGCCGATCCCTTTCGTCGCCTGGACTGCGAGGTGGCTGCTCTGCGAAGCTTCACGACCCACGGCCATGCAGGCGACGCGTCGCGGTCGACGGTGGAGCGGTCAGAGGAGCCTTGAGAACTAGGGGAGCGATCAGGAACACCTGCGGGTTTCCGGATGGTGTCCTGATGGTGAAATGATGAAATGGTTTCAGAATGTGTCAGATTATTTCCTGGGACTGCAGGGCTGGACATCAGTTCGACAGAAATGAAGCTGATGTATGCTGATGTTTTTATCTTGCTCAATAGCTGTGCGACTGAATCATCGAGAACATGCAATTGATTCGATGGTTCAAAAACACCGACTGCTGAGGGTGTTTGCACCCCACATGTTAGTAGAGAATCTACCAGGACCCTCCAAGGGGTGTCTATTTATAGCCCCTTAATTATATAGCCGTTAATTAAGGGGTGTCCATGTCTACCACCCCTTGAAGGCCCTGGTAGAGGGGTATGTGTCCGTCCAACTTCGGTATCACTTAAATTTCAGAAGAGCCTCCAATCAGAAGAGCCCGCGATCGACCAACCGGTGGCTTTTCAAGGGACTCACCGATGCGGTGACAGCGGACCGGAGACGCTCGCGTAAGCCGTCCGCCGTCCAGGTGCCCCTGGGTTCGCGAGACATCGCCGACCCGACCAGCAAAATCGCTGGGACCTCTGACCTCTATCGGAGGAGTGGTGGCCTGGTGACGTCTGACCCCATGAGCCAAATGAGCCCAATGAAATGAGCTCACTGATCAGCTCAGAGCCGGACGAAACCTCTCATCGATGTGTTTCCTTCGGATGCCCTTATGCTTGAAAACCATGGCTCTGCTCGCTTCGCTCAGACTCCGTCAACCAGTGCTCGTCTCCGTCTATCCGCGGCGAGTCACCCGTGCGGGTCTCACCCCCCACCTTGCCTGTGCAAGGGGGGCAGTTAATACCTATGAGGAAAACAGCACCCAAAAAGGAGGACACCGGACACTGGGCTACCCGGACCTCAGTTTCCAGTCGGGCGCAGGTGTTCTCTGGGAAGGGAATAGCAAACATGTGCAGGACCCGAACTCAAAGATATGGAGGTCAAGGGGGTGTTTGAGGCTCTGCAGGATTTGTTGGAGGTGTTCAATGGAAACATCTGCACGCAGTATGCAGCAGTCAAAGGCAGCTTTCTTTGCGGTCTTTCTTCCTCCGGGTTGGCATCGGTGCTTCCACCCAAAACAACTTGCTTTGTTGGATGCAGGGTTCGAACACCGAGTAGGGTGACCTTGTTTTCTTTGCGGTAGCAGCCGATTTTTGTTGGAACATCCACGGTCCAACACACCGCTGGGTCTACCAGCGAGGGGAATTCCCCCGTTCAGGCTTGATCGTCCCAACCCGATTCTGTGGGCCAATCGAACCGGAGATGATGAAGGGCTGAACCACTGGACAAGTTGCAGTGTCGACATGTCGTGCTTGACCAGTTTTTTCTTTAAGACGCTTGGTGCCGCCGTTCGTTCTGACCCGCTGGCCGTTCTCAGCTTGGAGATGATCCATTCGATGAGAGTCGGAGAAAAGACTGTCTATTGATCGGAAAAGCTATTGACGGACAATTGCTGTGGATGCGAGTCCTGACCTGATTGTTAAACGTCATAAGTTCAGATTCCCAGACCGTCTCGAGTATTTTGAAGCTGAGTTGCCCAAATGGAATTCCTATATATTATAGAGTTTACTTCGCATCAAGTTCAACACGCATGACCCACTGAGTGTTGGCCGTCGCAGTGACCGGCCAGAATGGTGCGGAACTCAGTGGTTCCCAAGCTTCGCCCCTGTGGCCATCTCCCAGACACGACTAATGGGACTGGCATGTATGCCTACATTGACACCGACTTCAACCACTCCAATGAATGTATGTAAATATGCCAGTCCCATTAGGAGTGTCTGGGTATGTGAGCATGATTGACGACATGCACATGGTTTGCATTGGCAGAGATAGTTTCGAGTTGTGGACTGCCATCCTGTTTGACACTATACACAGCCACATAGCACAACGCACAGAGACAACAAAACATAACATGTCGTAATAGGATGTAATAGGTGTTCCACTTTCAGGTGACCTACTGACCCTTTTGTAGGATGATGACCATCCCGAATTGAATTGGATCTCTTCAGGGTCGGTGCTTGCATTGGGTGTGACCGGAACAAAAGGCTTAACGGAAAGGGCCCCCGAGCGCAGCGCGGAGAGTGGTTAGGGTTCCTCCGAGTGCAGTATGAGAAAGCTGGAGTACTGTAGCCTGTCCCAGTGCTCTGGAGCTACCTTGGTGCACGGCGTGCTCTGGATTCAAAAGATAGTGGAGCCTTGTACCATTGGAGCCGATTGGGTAGTGGATTGATTTCATATGATTTCTTGTCATCGTGTAGATCGATGGCTATTCCATGCTATTCCACATTGTTATTCATCGAAGGGCTATAAGGCTATGAGTACATCCAATTGCAGAGATGGTATTTTTCTTATATTTAAGTCTAAGTTATGTGTTCAATCCTTTCCCTGTTGCCACCGGTTCAACCCGACCAATCCATTTGGGCCCGTGCCAATGAAGATACAGATCATCAGAAGCTGTTCCAGCTGTGACCGTGAAAGCAGCTGTGTTCCTTTCAAAGTGCCCTACGCTGCCACTTGGCCCCCTAAAATACGATTAAACAAGAATACCAGCAGTCACAAAGGGGTATACTTAATGGAGGAAGTCGGGGTGCCCAGCTACTCCACTCACTGGATGGGACGAGCCACACCACCCAGGCCCTCCATGTGACTCCTGGTAGATATCTCCGCTTCCGACCGGTTCTTTCCGTTCTCCCGGCGCCGAGTGCTTTCCGCGGTGCTTTGCTTTCCGCGGTGCGTTCTGCGTTCCGCCTTCCGAGGCGCCGAAGAAGCGGAAGCTGCCAAGCACCCGAGCCAGGCGGTGTCGTGTTTAGCAGACCACGGCGAAGGGTAGCGATGGTTTTTAAGGGTTCTGGCTTTTTTGCGGGGGAACCACTACCAGGGTGTTGGCAATGTTTGGCTAAGGCTCGTTCTTTTTGATGTCAATTGCGATGTCGGTATGCAACAGTTGAGGTGCTACCATCAGCTTCAAGAACCTATAAAGATGTAGATTCTAAAAAGAAAGCTCGTCTTTTCAGACTCTTCTGTCACTTTCTCATTCATTTGGTGCTCCTTCGTCCGCACCTGGGACTTTTGAGCACTACGCCACCAGGAATGGCTTTTGGTTCTACCCACATTGCTTCGTTTTGACGCTAACTGCACTGAACATTTTCAAGCGATTCGGCTCATGGACGTCCCCTGAGCGTTCAACGCTGCACCGCAGTCCGGTGGTCGAGGACCCAGCGCGTGGTCGAGCGGGACGTGCTCACCGAGCGCGTGCCAGACTTCGTTAGGTGGGGGGTCGTGGTGGGTCGAGGGTGTGCTGTCCACGCCCCATGGGGTGGTCCCAAGGTGGGTCGGACATGGGCCGCGTTCAGAAGAGGTAGACCCTATGTTCGTTGCTGCAAAGATCCAAGTCGTTTGGACCTTTCAAGCCGTTTCTGAAGGAATCAGCTCGTGTGAGAAGACATGAGAGTTCCCTTTGACAATCACCATTTTCTTTGGGATGAGAATTGCACATTGCCTGTTCAAAGGCAGTGGTAAGTTATTTGATTTAATGGGTGCATTGAATTTGAAAGACTTGGGTTTGCATGTTCCATTTCTTTGTGAGCTGACATTGCCGCTCAAGGAAGCCTTGATCCAAACTGTCAGCATTTGATTACTTTGTCAGAGGGGGCCGCAGTGAGCGTTCAAACAAAGCAAAACCGAAGTTGACTGGTGTAACCTGTGGGAACAGGGAGACTTGGCTTGCATCATAGCAGAGAGAACAAGTCTGGGCGGCAACGTTGCGTTGGAGCTGTGCAAAGAAATGTACAATAACACATAATTATTTTTGTGATAATATACATGTCAGCTTCCTTTTGAGGATATGTGGTTCGAACTTCAATTTGGAGTCATAGCCATTCTTTGTCTCTAGACTCTAGCTTAATGGCAACATGGAAGAGGGAGGAAAACATCTAAAAGCAAACAAGCAAGCCTTAAACACACAAACGTTACACTGGGGAGTCCTTTGCCCGAAAAGATAGAAGCACAGGCCGTCGCGTGCTTGGAGTGTCGTCCACAAAAACGACGATCCGCGGGGGTTCAGGTCTTCCAGGGACGCGGCAGAATGTCTTTGTGGCGCTTGCTTGCTGCCCATCGAGGAGGAGAAGGCGTGAACCTTCGGCGTGAACCGGGTGGACGGAGGATGTCCGGACGGATCCCAGGCGCGTTCAGTGGGAAGAAAGCCATGTAGGTCCATTCTTGAAGTGCCATGTTTCGTGCGAAAGCAGTGCCCGGTGTTGCGGCGAAAGCAGTGCCCGCCCCCAAAAGTAGAAACACAGCTGAAATTGTAAGCCCAGGATCGTATGAGGGCCCAGTCGTGCGACCCAGTCCGGCACCTTCGACCACCAGTCAGATGCTCCGATTCTGTAGGTTGGAGCGATCGACAACTGCACACATCTTTTCCACTACGAGTGTGTCCGGAAGCCGAGTGTATCCACTACAGAGCGTGGCCGGCTTTTCATCGGACCAGTTGGACAGGTCCAAGCACCATCTCGGATTCCGTGACAGGAGCCCCCGTAGAGCTCGCCCCGTTTCGTTCCGATGCTTTGGAGGCTTCCGTGGTCCGTTCCTGAACGGAACCTCCACCCGTTCCCCAAGCGGAATCCGTTTCGACCTGTTTCGACCCGATGTGCCGGGCCTGAGCGGCCGGCCGCCTGTCTGTCGGCTGCTTTCAAGGTCGAGAAGTGGTCGCAGACAGAGAACAGCTGTCCACAATGCAAAGTGCGTTTCTTCTGGATGGTCGGGGGCCGTCAGTCGTCGCTATGTGTGATGGGCAGTGTTTGTCCGCTGGTATCCGCTGGTGCATTGTTGGAAGAACTCATCATTAATCACCAGCAACTTTCAAGGGTTCTCCAAGAGACTACTCTACACACTACTTGTGGATCTCCATTGGGCGCCCCTTTGGAGGTCCAGGCATGATTACACTGATTGCACAGTTCTTATTGCTAATGAATTCGTGCAGGTCCTTGCGGTTTGGACTAGAACAGCGGAGCTACAGCATTGATATTTGTCACTGCAAATACCATGTTTTTGCCAGTGACCTCACTAGATTCTAATAGATGACAGATGATGACAGTAGTCCATGGAGGACCCAATGGATCCTGGGTGAGGCGTTGACGCGACGTCACAGAGAGTCCAACCGGTCAGAAACCACTCAAGTCTATAAAGATCTATACCAGGACCCGACACTGTGGGGTGTCTATTTATAGCCCCTTATATAGCCGTTAATTAAGGGGTGTCCATGTCTACCACCCCTTAAAGGCCCTGGTAAGTGATGTTTTTTTATTTGTGGTTTCAAGGGGCTTCAGTCAAGGGACTGTTTTCGAAGTGTTTGGACCACCGAGTCAAGTTGACTGAGTCTAACCTCAAGAAACCACTCAAGGGCTTCTCCAAGTAGTTTCAGTCCCTGGCATGCCGAAGTCTCCTTGCCACTCACTCACATCTCCGCTCTCTCGAAGTCGGTCATCTCGCAGGCAGGTTATGGGGCGGATCAGAGACTTTCCCTGAGCAAGGTGGAAAGCTCCGGACTCAGCGACATCGATCAGGGCAACCCAATGGACGGGACGGACAAGCAGCGTGCTGCGGGAGCAGAAGAAGCCACAGCAACAGTCGATGGCGGTCGATTCAGGAGAACTCTAGGGCCAGCTAAACTCGATGATACTCGATGAATACTCATCGATACTCATCGTCCCATGTCAGTTAATTAAGACTATTTCTAGAGTCTTCAAAGGATTTTTCATATTTTTTCATGGCACCAGCCCCGCCAGAGCCTTTCCAAGCCGACTGGTTTCACGCTGAAAACCTCCTGTGTTCCTTTGAGCTGCCGAAGCACATCAGCCGTGAGCCCAGGCAAAGATCAGGAAGAGCAGGAGCCCTGAACGATCCTGGACGTGCTTCAGAATTTCGATCCCATTTGAGTCTGATCAAAATCAAGCCATTTTGCTCTACACAGCTCTTGCCAGCCCAAAACGGCCAAAAAACGGCCAGCACCGGTTTGGTGTTCGGAGCAGGGTCACCGCACCCAGGCAGCGGACCCTTGACATTTGGGCTGAAAAAGACGAGTCCATAAGATCCATTTGTTTTGAGATAAGGTTGGCATGATCGAGACTTTGTTTCTTCCACTGTGTCCTTCCTTTTGGTCTTGATTTCATGTTTGGGGTACCAAGTTGGGGGATATGCATATATTACTATATGGGGTTGATGTGATGTTAGAGTTAGAGTATCTATATGTGTTTTTTTTGTGCTGTTATATGTTGTTGTTATCCGCCGACCCCGGCCTATAGCCAAAGCCTAGGCGGGGAGGCGCCTGGGACACCGCAGGGTGAAGCAGTTGGCCAAGCCTAGCAGAACCCTTCAAGCACTTCCAAAGGCGCAGGATGCAGCAGTTGGCCAAGCCTAGCAGAACCCTTCCAAGCACTTCCAAAGGCCTGTCCGAGGCCTCACCAGCTGGCCGGCCTGTTGCGGCCTCTCTGTGGCCTGTCCGAAGCCTGCCTCCTCTCTTCTTA